GGGACCCCGTGTACAGATGTGGGCACCTGATGTCCCGGGGAAGCCTCGTCTACAGCCCACAGGCTGGAGCAAAGGGGTCTCCCCAAGAAACGGATGTGCCATGTCCTGTCCGTGCTGCCCGGCCCGGGCTGTCCGTGTCACCAACGTGAGTCACACTCGGCCCGGCTCATCCCAGCGCTGAGCGGGCAGGGGACGCGCCTGCCGCCAGGCAAGGACAGCGGGCAGTGGGCCACAGCCGGCGTAGAGCGAGTGGAGGAAGCACGCACACACCACCAGACGGCTTCGGGGTGAGGGTTCACAAACAGGGTTCCCCAGACCCCACCCCTTGGCCACTTACAACTGAGTGTGCGCTGCCAGCTCCAGATAAGGCAGTGACCCGGAGGGGGATGTTTGCAGCGGGGGGGAGCCTCAGGGGGCATGGGGGTTGATAAACAGGGATCCTGCACCCCAACCTGCTTAGGGCAAAACCATGATCTAGGGAAGGACCGGCAAGGGGTGCCGTCCCTCCTGGTGTGGGGCTGCCCCGGGCCCAGAGCGGGGGGCACCGCTCCCCAGTCAGAAGCTCCAATTCCAGGGACAACACATGGTTTTGTTTTCATCTGCTCCAGCCAAGTCAGCGACACGGACCCTCGGGGGTCCCAGGAACCGCACGATTTTGTTCAAGATCAGGCTGGGGCAGACCTGACGGGGCGGCCGTCCATCCCCGGGGCCGGCCTGGGAGTTGGGCTGTTGATCCCCGCGGCCCGGCCTGGTTCCAGGCTCCGAGCATGAGGTCACTCGTGCTGCAGTCATTTACACCTGAGACACGGGAGGGCTGCAGATCCAGCCAGCCCCCCTGCACCTCCCCTGAGCTCAGGAGATCCAGCCAGCCCCCCCCTGCACCCCCCCGAGCTCAGGAGATCCAGCCAGCCGCACCCCTGCACTCCCTCCTGAGCTCAGGAGATCCAGCCAGCCCCCCCTGCACACCCCCCTGAGCTCAGGAGATCCAGCCAGCCGCACCCCTGCACTCCCTCCTGAGCTCAGGCCTGGAGGAACCGGAGACCCCTGCCAGACAGCCAGCTGGGTGTGTCCTCAGTCCCCGCCTGTCCCCTGTCCCTGTTCCTGCACTGAGGCTCCCGAAGGGCCTCCCCGGTGGGCCCACCTGTCGGGGGGAGCTCCAGAGCCTGGGAGCCGGTCATAAATACCTCAGTGTGACAGGGCACTGGCCCAAGCTGCAGTCCCGCCGAGTGGGGAGATAGGCCCCTCGGAGGGTGAGTATGTCTCCCCAAAACCAAACTTGCCTCGAGTCCCTCCCCGGAGGACCCGTCTCAGTGGGTCTGGCTGTCTGGCGACCTGGCTTCCCGGCTTCAGTGCTGAGGGATGTCAGGAAGCGGCTTTGAAAGCGGATTAGGTTACATCAGTGATGGGGCGGCCGTGAGCTGGTTTCCTCTCCGGCTCCAGGCCCCCCTGGGTCAGCCACAGTGCAGGCCGCTCCTGAGGCCCGCGGTCTCCTCGGGCACAGGCCTGCCAGCCGGTGACACCCCCAAACACCATGCATCCTGCACCTGGAGGAGCACGGAGCCCAGAGTCTCCACCTCGGCCCCGCCCTGGCCCTCAGGCAAGCCCTCCCTGGAGGCCTCGGTCCTCCCGTCTATCCTCCCGTCTACAAAACGGGAGTGAGGGGCCCCACCCCTGCCCCGGTCCCCCATCCCCGGCCTCCCCGGTCCCCTTTCTCCAGGGCCCCCCCCCCAACACAGTGCGTCACCAGCCTGGAATGGGAAGTCACTTTCCCTGGTCACCAGGGGCTAACAGCCAAAGCTCTCCTCTCTCGGGGGTCAGATGGCACCCCCCAGCCACTCTGGCCAGGTCTGCAGGGCGGGGACAGCCGACCTCCGGGGCTGCTGTTCCTCCCTGTGCCACCCCCACCCCACCCCACCCCGCTCTCAGGGCCCCCGGAGCATACGCTGGACCCCACACTCTGCACCCCTCACCTGGCTTCCCTCAGCGCTCGCCCGGGGCCCGCGGACTCTCCTCCTGGGGCCGATGCTGCAGGACCTCCCGACGCCAGGGCGAGGGGCAGGCATTACCGTCACCCCCTGTCACCCCCATTACAGACGAGCAGGGGTGCAGAGAGAAAATTCACCCAAAGTCACACAGCCGTGAGACAGCAAAGCGGGGCCCCAAGGTCTGACTGCTTTGCACTCACAGGCTCTGACCTGCTGGCCCCAAAGCTCCCCTCGAGGCTCCGTGTCTGCTGAGGAGGCAAAACAGGAAACGGCCAAAGACCACGACACATGACAAGGCACAGGGACTGGAAAGGGCAACTTCTCAGGGAAAGTCACACAGAAAGGGATTTGCAAGCTGGGTGTTGAGGGATGTGTAGGAGTTCAGCAAGTAAAGAAGACGGCAAAGGAAGGGCCCTGTAAGTTGGGGAGCAGCATGGGCAGAGGCTTAGGGGACAGGCAGGCTTGCAGCTGGATGGGCTAGCAGGGGGCCGGGTCCTGGCCTGGGCGGGGCACCTGGCTCCCTCTGGAGGAGGAGCAGCTGCACAGAAGGGTGACGGGACCCTTTAGTATCAGGAAGTCATTTGCGGGGGGAGGGGAGCCTGGGCAGGAGGGGGGCACCTGGGCTTTGCAGTTTGGGCTGAGACGCCTTCTCTTTGGCTCAAGTAGGAGACATCTGTGAAGACCACCGGACGCTGCTCCACCCTGCGGGCCGCCGGGGCTGGTGAGTGAGGGTCTGCAGGGCGTCCAGCCTGGGGGGGGCCCCACCGCAGCCCCCACTCCCGCTGGTGAGCGTGCCCCAGCCCCAGACGCTCCGAGCGGCCGCCCAGCGCCGACGCCAGCAGGCTCCCCTGTGTGGTGTCCAGCCAGGGGGGAGGCTTTGAGAGACCAGGGTCTCGAGGCAGCTCGGCCGCCCTCACCCCGTCAGCCCCCGGCCCCCCCAACACACACATTCTCCCGGGAGAAGAGTCTCAGCCTTTCCATCCTACGCCTAATCCGCGTCCATTTTAGGGATTTGTGAAGACAGCAGAAGCCCCCCCAGGTCGCCTCCCTTCGGGACCGTTTGCCTCCTTCGTGTGTTTTAATTACCTGGTTTAATTATTAGCTGTGTGACCTTGGGCACCTTCGCTAAGCTCCCTGGGACCTGGGAATAATAATGACGTCATCGACATCCCGGGGATGATGGCGGGAGGGTCAAAAGGAAACATCACAGGACAAAGCCCGGCGCCCACTGATGCTGGGATTCGCGCTCAAGGACCAGACGGGACTTTATTCCTGGTGCAAAGTACGCGCCCTCCCCCACGGCCCCTGCCCCATCCCAGGCTTGCCGTGGGGCTTCTCTTCTTCTGGACCTGTCTTTGGGGATGGGGTGGGGTCTCCCTCGCCTCCCCTACCTTCACCCCCAGGGGCATGGGGGGGCAGCCTCCTTCCACTGCCCCCCCCCCGCACTTTCTCCGTGAACGGGGCTCTGAGGGTAGGAGGAGGAGAGCGGGCGCAACCCGCTTCGTGGTCCCCTAGGGCCGCAGAGGTCCCCTGGCACAGTCTCCAGGACCCTGAGTAGCACAGGGACACGTCTCTGCCCTTAGGGGACCCACTTTGAAAGAGAGAAAGATCCACTGGCCAGGTCTAGAGAGGGGTGGGGCAAGGAGGGGCCCCTGGGCTTACAGCCCAGAGGGTGGTGTGGGGAGAGCAGGGGCCACAGGAGCCCATCCTGGCAGGTGCGTGGGGCTTCTGAAAGCCAGAGGAGTTGGGGTGCTGGGGAGGGTGTGAGGGAGGGGCTGGGAGCGGCAAGGGGGGAGCCCTATGGAAGGCCACCTGCCCCCCTGCCCACTGACGCCCTGGCAAGGCTTGTGGAGAGTCCGGGCCTTTCCCGCCACCTTCCAGCACAGCCCTTCCTGGGCAGCCCAGCCAGGTTCACACTGGGTGCCTGGACATGCACCCAGATCCCCGCCTGCTGCAGGCAGGGACAGCACAGGGAGAGTGACAGCCGCCACCCTCCCCACCCCGCCACCCTCCCCACCCCGGGTCTAGCGTCCCCACCCCCCCCCCCCCCCCGCAGCCCATTCCTGCAAAGGAAGACGGTTCACAAGCCGCAAGCGCCTCGGGCACTGGTTCGCAAGCTCCCGCCCTGCAGGGTCCCTCCTCTCCTGCCCAGCACTGTCCTGCCCAGCAGGTCCCTCCGCATCTATTGTGCGGTCCCCTCAGAGAGCTTGGGGCCTCCTGAGGAGGCTTGGGGCATGGGTCAGCCAAGCCCCAGAGAGGCCCGGCTGCCACAGCCCTACCCCCAGGGGCCCACCGAGGGAGCGCCTGGGGGCACCTGCATGACCTCGGGGGGCCTCCCACCCATCGCACATTGCTGGTTCCTGGGGGAGCTCCTCCGGCCCCGCTCCGCAGCCACCAGCAGGGCCGGCTGGTCCCACCTTGGCCAGCGGCAAGGAGCAGGGCTGGCGCCGGGGAGTGCATCCAGGTATCCAGGTGGCGCAGCCTAGAGGCCCGACCACGCCCCCTCGCCGCCCCCACCTCCCTCCACGCTGGGATCGCCCAGGTTGCCCTGCTCGGTCGGAAACAGGAAGCCGTGGGGCTGCGGCTGCACTTGGGCATGGGGCGGCCCCCGTCCACCTGGTTGGAGGGACAGGGACGGGGAGCGGGGCGGCCGGTGGAACCGGATCCCGCGCGGGCCCCGAGCGCACCACCACGCGGGAGCGCGGCCACGGGCTCTCGGGTTCGTGCGCAGGAGCCCAACCGGACACGGGGCAGCCTCGGGGCGAGCCCGGCCGGACAGGGACCCGCGAGTCCTCCCAAGCGCACTAGGGACGTGTAGGCGTCCCAGCTCCCCGCTCCCTCCGGGCCAGCCCCGCGTGCCTGGTGCCCGCGCCCTCCCCGCCCGCCCCGAGCCCGGCCTGCTCGGGTCACGTGGCGCGGCCGCAGCCCCAGCGCTGACCCCGCGGGAGGGGAAGGAGCGAGGGAGGGAGGGAGGGGCGGCGGGGCGGGCCGGGGCGGCGCGGAGGGGCGGCGGGGCGCCCGGGATTCCCTGCGGAGCCGCGCGCCCGGGCTCCCAGTCCGCAGCCCGCCCGCCCTCCACGCTGCCCGGGAAGCTCCGCGGCCAGCGGGGGACCAGGCGAGTGGCCCGGCCGCCCCAGGGCTGCCCGCGCCCCCCTTGGCCCCGCGCCGCCTGCGCCCCCCGCGTCTCCGCGCCCCGCCGTCCACCCCGGCCCAGCGCGTACCACCCGGGCGCCCAGCAGCCGTGACCCCGGCGCGGCCCTGTGCCCGCAGGTCCCTGCCGCGTCGGGGAGGATGTACCCGAGCCTGGCGCTGGCCCCGAGCCCCAGCCAGGCCGCCTACGCGGACTCAGGCGCCTTCCTGCCCGCGCCGGCCGCCGGCTCCCCGGTGTTCGTGCCGCCCGCGCGCGTCCCCCCCATGCTGCCCTACCTGCCGCCGTGCGAGCCGGGCCCGCAGGCTCCCGGACGAGGCGCGCACCCCGGCTGGGCGCAGGCGGCCGACTCGGCACCCTTCGGGCCCGGCAGCCCGCCCCCGCCGGCCGCCCCGCCACCCGCAGCCACCGCCTTCCCCTTCCCGCACAGCCCCTCGGGGCCCGGGGGCGGCGCGGGGGCCCGGGACGGGAGCGCCTACCAGGGCGCGCTGCTGGCCCGTGAGCAGTACCCGGCCCCGCTCGGGCGGCCCGTGGGCGCGTCCTACCCCGCCGCCTACCCGGCCTACGTGAGCCCCGAGGGGGCCCCGGCCTGGACCTCGGGACCCTTCGAAGGCAGCGTCCTGCACGGCCTGCAGAGCCGCCCGGCTGGCCTCCCCGGCCGCCGAGCCACCTTCGGTGAGTGCGAGACCGGGGCGCGGGCCCCACCGGTGCAAACCCGCACCCCACGAAGCTCGGCCCGGGGGAGGGCTCTCCCTGCCGCCAGGCCCAGCGGCCAGGCCCGGGGCTGAGATGAAAACGCGCGGCCTGAGCTCTTCTGCACGTTGGTAAGAAAGCGTTTCTACGTTTCGTTCATCTGAGCCCAACGTTCTGGGCCGTCCCAACTACAGGCTACCTCTTAAACCCTCTTCTGAGGTTTTGGAGGGGATTTTTACAAAATTCAAAACACGGGCTTATCTAAGAAGCCGCCGCGGGGTCACCTCTGTCCTAGAATGTTTACATATTCTAATTTGAGACCTGGTTTCAATTGCTCCCCTGGGGTATAAACTTGGCTAATGGATCCGGGCCTGTAAGGCAGAGATTTGCTCCCCACCCTGGCACCAGGGACTCTCACCCCTGCAGCCAAACACCAAGAGCCAAGCCTGTGTGTGCTGCCGGAAGCGACCAGGTCCCACTCCGCGGGCGGAGGAGCCCTCGCTGGCCCACGGTCCAGCGGCCTTTGGTCCCCACTGGCTCCTCTGCGCAGGAAGCGGGAACCCCCGCCTCCCCCAACTCCCCGCGCCCGATGGAGCCCAGGGCAGCCCCACCAGAGCCCAGGGCAGCCCTACGGGGATCGACCCCCAGGGATCAACCCCCAGGACAACCGGCCCAGCCTGGAGGGAGCCGGGAGTGGCCGCCTCCCTGAGCAGCCCCAGGTGCACAACACGGCCCAGCTGCACTGTTGTTTTGGGGGGACGGTGGCTGCCCCACGGCGGAGCTGACAGTGACGGCGCCATGTCCCCTGTGGGATGTCACCGTCCACTCAGCCTCACCACCACTGCCCCATGTGAACAAGGCCCCTCTGCGGCCTCCCTCTCCTGGCGCCGCGACCAGGCCTCCCCGGGGGATCAAAGTGACACCCCGTGGAGGGGGGGACGATTCCCTGCTGTGCAATCTGAGCTTTGATTTATTAACCTTCCCCCAACCCACAAAGGCAATGCTAACCGGTGTCTTTTAATCTGTCCCGAACTTCATTGTACGTAAATTTAAGACGTAGAATAAAATTAGATAAAATAAATCTTAAAGTAAAAGAAATTCAAGGCGCACACAGTGCAGGGCCAAGGCCGCGCTTGCTGTGGGCGGTGGGAAGCCAGAGCCTCGGCCCACGAGCTGCCCGTCCCGTCCCCGTAGTGTCGGACTTTCTGGAAGAGCTCCCCGGCGAGGGTCGCGAGTGTGTCAACTGCGGGGCGCTGTCCACACCGCTGTGGCGTCGCGACGGCACCGGCCACTACCTGTGCAACGCCTGCGGCCTCTACCACAAGATGAACGGCGTCAACCGGCCGCTCGTGCGCCCGCAGAAGCGCCTGGTGAGTGCCCGCCTGGCTGGGCAGCTGGAGTCCGGGGGGTGGGGGTGCAGAAACCTGGAGGTGCAGACCCCAGAAGTGTGGAACCGGAACCGGGCCGGGAGTGCTCTGGGCAGCTGGGAGGCCCCGGCCTGGGCCCAGCCGGCCTGCTGGGGCTCGGCCCTGGGGCTCCGAGCGGGCGGGGCGCAGGTGACTTGGCCCAGGCCTGGGGCCAGCGGGGAAGGTGGCCGCTGGGTGCGCTTTGTCGGAGGACATCGAAATCCTACGCAGGAGGAGCCCTGGCCTCCCTCCCTCTCGGGGAACATTTTCCACCCGATACCAGGCGGTGGGGGCTGAGACTTGTTTTCACTTTTGGTTTTACTGCTGTGTGGCTGGGTACACAGCAGGGGACGGGGACTCCGCTTTTGCCCCCAGCAGGGCAGGGTCCCCAAAGCCGCATGAGGGTTTGTAGTGACTTAGTTCTACACCATCCTACAGGCCAACTCGGATGCGCCTGCGGTCCTGTAAGGGGTAGGGCCTGCCTTTGTTTGCGTGGCCCTGGGGTCCGAGGGCTGGGCACGGCTGTCTCTCGGGGAGCCTAGCCTTCTGGTCCAATGCTTGTGTGAGCCGGTTCCGGCCGGTTCTGGTGCCTGGGACCAGTGGGGGGCCAAGGGTGGGGGCTGGCGCCGGGCTGCCCCTGCGGATATGTGGGTGGCCCTGCCACGGTTGCTGTTCCGGCTGCGTGGCGCTCAGGAGCAGCCTTTACTGCGAACCCAGCAGCTGGGCTGTGGGAGCCCCCGACCAGGTCCCCCCGACTTCCCTCCACCCACGCTGTGCCTCCTGGTACCTCAGAATCCATATCACCCCCTCACTTTTCTCCCTGCCCCTGTGATCACGGCCCCCGGCCTGACGCTCTGCAGCTTGGCGTCTGAGGTGGCCTCACTGATAGGGAGACTGAGGCTAGGGCGCCCGGGGGCTCCGTGGGTGAGCGTCTGACTCTCGTTTCGGCTCAGGTCGTGCATGATCTCAGGGTCCTGGGATCGAGCCCAGGTCGGCCCTGTGCTCAGCGTGGAGCCTGCCTGCGGTTCTCTCTCTCACCCCCCCGCCCCTCCCCCTGCCCCACGCCCTCTTCCTCCGCCGTTAGAATAAATCATTCTTTAGAAAAATGGAAATTGAGGCTAAGAGTGACCGTGTCCTAGGGGGCCACAACCCCACTCCCACCCCGGGGGCCCCCTCCCTGCTTCATCCATCCTCCCCGACAGGGTCGGACCCCTCCCAGGGCTCACCTCCCAGCAGAAGTTCCTGCCCTGGGGGCCCAGCAGACAGAGGTCACCATCTAGGCATCAGGACGATGACCCCGGGGCTCACAGGCGCTCAGAGGGCACGTGGTCCGTCCCGGACTGTCTGCCCCGGGCTCCTGTGTGCCCCCGCCCGGCCGCTGCCCCAGGCCCCTGCACACGCCGTCCCCGGGCTCTGTTGTACAGATTGGGCAGGGCGCGTACATGGGCCTTGGCCAGCTCTGCGGACTGGTCTGGGGACAAGGGATAATTCGCTGTAAGGATGCCTCCTGGGGTGAAGAATGTCCCCGAGGCCGCAGGCCTCAGAGAGTGGGCAGCCTGGTCACCCGTGTGCCCAGGCCCGTGCAGCTCTGAGTGGAGAACGTGTTTGCCAAGCGGGGCTGGGGGTCGGGGGGTGTTTCCGTAGCCGTCCTGCTCCCGCCGGTCCTCCAGCAGGCTCTGATTTGTGTCTGGGTTCCTGCCTGGCACCCAGGGAGGGTGGCCCGCTGCTTCCCCGTGCTCCCACGGAAACACGGAGGTTGTCAGAGCGTGCTGGGACCAGAGCTGGGCCCACAGGGCTCCAGACACAGGGACTGGCCCATGGCCCCAGCCTTGGCCCCACCAGTGCCTCATGCCCCCTCGAGTGTGGCCAGAACTAATGCCCCGGGACAGAACTGTCCTAACCTTCTAAATGATTACAAGTGTTCTAGAAGCTTGTCACCAAGAATGGAGGAATGTGACAGTAACAAGCACGTGTCCCCCCCACCCCCATGGGAGCCCTGTCCCTTCTGCCCTGAGCCTGCCGCCTGCATCCTCAGGCCCCTCGAACCTTTGACCTGAGGCTTCTGTCACCGGGGACAGTGGGGTAGCTGCGGTGGTCCTGCCGGGCTGGCCAGGTCCCCTAGAGCCACACCCCAACCACCGAACGTCAGAGCCCCGCGGCCAAGGCCAGGGGACCGCTGGCGCCAGCTCCGGGAAGCAGCCGGTGCCGCGTGGGGCCCGGCATCCTTCGCCCAGCAAATCCGGACCTTGGTGAGGACCCTGGGTTTTCCTTCCTGCACGGCCTGCCGCGTGGACTCGTCCCTGGCACGGTTTGCCCTTGAACCCCAGGGGACACACGCGTCCCCCACGTGTCCTTTCCCAAGGCGTGGAGGACCCTCTTAGCATCGGGCCACGTCCTGCTGCTCTGCCGCTTGGGAGCCAGGCGCTTACTTGCAGAACTGCTTCTCCCCGTGCGCTCGCCTCACCCCTGCAGGCCGGCCACCCCGCTGCTGCTGCTGCTGCTGCTGCTGCTGCTGCTGCTGCGTGGGCCCCCCCCCTGCCAGCCCCACCCTGGCTCCGCACCGCCCACCGCCCATGTCTCCACTTGAACCCGAGGCGTGCGGGCCTGGAGCTCAGGGCAGCTCGGCTGCGAGCAGGCTTTGAAGTTTAACTTCTTTTGAAAAGAACAGACCAAAAGAGAAAAACGAAAATCAGCCAAGGGAGGCCTGGCAGCTAGGAGGCCCCGCCGCTTGTCCCAGGCGGTGAGGAAGGACAGCCGAGGCGGGGAGGGCCGGCCCGGGGGACGCGGCCCGGGTGTGCGCGGCGCTCAGCGGAGGGAGGCCCTCTGTCCACGCCGGCGCCTCTGCCCGCCGTGTCCCATCGGCTGGAGGAGAGGAAAATATAAACCAGCAAACTCTTTGAAACCTTTTTCCAGGTCTTATTTTCTCCCGTTTTCTTAATTTTAATTTATGCTTTCTAAAAAATAATTCACTTCTAATCCGGGCTCCAGATTTTTCCCCTCCCCTTCCCCGGGTGCGGCGTGCCGGTGAGTGAGCTCCTGGGGCTGCTTCCCCCGCGTGCACGTGGCATCGTCGTGGCATCGTCGTGTCTCGGGCTCTCCTTCCTCTGAGACGCTGCTCAGGAGCTGTGGGGGCCGTTGGGGGAGAGCCTGAGTGTGTGTGCTGGGGGTGGGCACGTTTCTGTAGGAAAGACTCGGTGTGAAGGGGCTGTGGCCCACGGGGCGGCCGCGGCCCTCCTACCTTCCACTACGGTGCGGGTTTTGGTGCGACGACGGCAGTGTGAGCCCTAAGGGAGCAAAGATCGGTAAGAGCGCCCGAGGGTCCCAACTGGATGCGCCGCAGGAGGTGGGACCTCACCGGCTAAAATACAAGACACCCCAGTAAGTGTGACTTTCAGACAAACGGCAACTGGCACCTTGACGTCCCACGTGCTGCAGGAACGTGTGCTCTAGAGCACTTGCTGCTCGTCCAAAGTTCGCGTCTGCGCATCCTGGTGCCTGGGGCGGGTCCCACGGCCTCCTACCCCTTTAGGAAGGGGGATGGATGGGGAGTGGGGGCAGGGACCCCGCCTCACGCTGGACAGTGGGCTCCAGGAGGGCAGGAGGCACCCCCTGTGTGCATAGCTTCTGGCACCCGAGGGACAGGTGGGACAGCGGGACGGGACAGGGAGGGGACACTCAAATCACGTCCAGTGAAAGCAGCCGCTTGCTAGGCAAGGTCAGGCTGGGACCTGTTGACTCTGGGTCCGGTGCTCCCACTCTGAGCATGCTCCGTCTGGGTCTGGCCGGGGCTGCAGCCACCACTCCCCTTCCGGCTCTGCTGGGCTCCCGGCTGGCCGCCAGCTTCGTCCACTCTGGTTCGTGCACTAGTCCCAGCCCTGCGTGCCCCCTGGGGGACCACTGGAGATCCTGGCTGGACATCAGCACCAGGTCTCCCCAGCCAGGCCCAGAGGCTTGGCCTTGTGTTCTCCTCGAGCCTCTGCGGCCTCATCCCTGTCCTGCCTTTTGGCCCTTTTGTCCCAGAGCCTGGGGCAGAGTCCTGCCTGGAGCCCGGAGGCCAAGCCTTCCCTTAAACAGGGCAAAATTCTCTGGAGCGGGGGCAGCCGCCCGCCTGCAGCTGGAAGGGGAGGGGAGGGGAGGGGCGGGGAGGCTTTGAGCTTTCTTGGGAATGGCTGGGCAGAGGGCTTGAGACCCGCTCCCACCCCTCCTCCCGGGGCATTCCCGGGGACAGGCCTGTGCCCTCGCCCTGCTGACCGCAGCCTGCAGGAACGCAGTGGGCAGGAGACGATGGGCAAGGCTGGCCTCGCTCAGCCACTGCAGGAGGAGGGATCCAAGAGACTTGAGAGAGTGGGAAGCTGAGGCCGGTCGTGTCTGTCACTCCCAACCCAGGACACGGTCCTTTTGCAGTTGTGTATCCCCCGCCCCTCACCCCGCTCTGTCGGGAGAATACCAGGAGGACACACGTCCCCTGGGGTCCTCACGGGCTCCAGTCCTGCCACCCAAACACTGGATCGGATGTGGCCTGGCCTGACCCCGGCTGCCACGGGGAGGTGGTCAGAGACCCTGCATCACACCCTGTGGGGGCCCCAGGGACCTGACCAGGGGGTTCAGTGCACGTGGAGGAAAGGGTTGGGCCGGTTCGGGGGCACCGGAGGGCCGGGCCTGAGGATGAGAACAGGCAGTAGTGCTCCCCGAAGATACAGCCTGGGGGGCCGGGGGCGGAGCCGCCAGCAGGCTGTGTTGAGGGCACCGGGAAGGGCTTGGGGTCTGAGGGGCCTGGGGGCGTGTGCCCGGCAGGTGCGTCTGGAGCTCCCAGCGTGCAGGTGACCTGGCCCTCCGATGCGGAGGTGGGCTGGGCTCGGCAGCTCACGGAATCCTGAGCCGGGGCAGAGTCCCCTTCCCGGGCCTGTGGGGTCCAGATTCCTGAGCCCCAAGCACCCTGCTGGCTCAGGACCCCCGAAGCTGCTGCTGTCTGGACCTCACCAGGCTCCCCCATGCAGAGGTCTGGGGCCCCTGGTCAGATGGACCTGCAGAATCGGGGGTTAGTCCTGCAGGGAGACATCGGGGCCTCAGGAAGGTTCCGGATGGGTTGCTCTTGCTCTGCCCTGCGACACCGTGGCCAACACCGGGGAGGTGCGGGCAGGCGACCCTGGGCCCTCAGCCCACCGCCCAGTGCTTGAGCTGAGCACACACTCCAGATCCTGTCTTGGAAGGCGGGCGCCCCGCGGGACCAGCAGGTCCCCTGCAGGTGCAGCCTGGGCCTGAGCTCCCGGGGGACCCTGGGCCCGGGGGAGCTGCTCCGTCCTCGCAAGCCGGGGCGAGGGCCCAGCGTCGGCAGCTGAGGGGAGATGATAACAGAAAAGCAGCTGCGCTCCTGCCGTGGGTTCTTCCTGAGGGCCTGCCCCAGCAGGTGGGGCTGTTCTCACCCCCTTTATACTGAGGGGGACACTGAGGCCCAGACAGGGACTATCCCGGGGCTCAGAGTGCATGTGGTCAAAGCTGCGAGGAATGGAGACGGTCCCTGCCCAGGGCAGACCTCACCACCTCGGTGCCCCAGCGCCTTCTCGCCCTGCCCCACGTGCCCCGGGCCTGGCCGCCGGTCAGTCCTGAGCCTGGCTCGCATCCCTCCTGGGCCGTGGTGCGGAGGCCCCCCCCCGCTCACCCCGGCCTCTCCCGTCCACAGTCCTCGTCCCGCCGAGCCGGCCTCTGCTGCACCAACTGCCACACGACCACCACCACGCTGTGGCGGCGCAACGCGGACGGGGAGCCGGTGTGCAATGCCTGTGGCCTCTACATGAAGCTGCACGGGGTGAGCGGACGCAGTGGGCGCAGGGAGCGGACCCCCGCTGGTCAGTGGGGGGTAGAGATGGGGTACTGGGGGGCAGGAGGCAGAGAGCGTGGGGCCCCACTGAGGCTCCTTCAGGGCTGACGGGGCAAGGGGCCCAGGGGTGAGCAGGGACAGGACCTGCCACCCGCCCCTACCCGCCCCTGCCTGCTCCTCCCAGGTGCCGCGGCCCCTGGCCATGAAGAAGGAAAGTATCCAGACGCGGAAACGGAAACCCAAGAGCGTTGTGAAGACCAAGAGCAACTCAGGTGCACGGGGCCAGGGCCTGTTGGGGTGCCAGGCGGGAACCCCATCCCCAGCCCTCCTGGGGGTGCACATTCGCCCCTTGGAGTCACCTGGAGTGTCTCAGATGCTCCATTAGACGGTTCCACGTCTGGCTCAAGCACCGTGCTCCTGACTGCGCCCTGGTGGCGCCTGTCGGGGGGGAAGGTCCGGGTGCCGTGGGGCAGGAGGGGAGATTGAGGGGGCCCCACCCTGTCCCACCATTAAGTGACCCACATGGCGGGGCCTGGCGGCTTCTGTAAATGCCCCCCCCCCTTCCAGGAGGCCTGGGGAACGGCACAGCCTCGCCGCCCTCTGTCCCGGACCCTGAGAGCCCAGGGGCTACCTTGAAACCCAAACCCAGCCTGGCTTCTCCTTCATGCCCCGGGTCCAGCATCACCTCCCAGGTAAGGCAGGTGGGATGGGGCGGGGTGCCCTGGGTGGCTCCTGGGTGCGTCCTCAGGGAGCCCCGACTCCCCGACCCGGTCACACCCCATCCCAGTCCCCGGGGGCCTCCCCCAGGAGCTCAGGGCTGGGCACACAGTTGAGCACGGGTACCGGCAGGTGGGCTGTGGTGGGCGCCAGGCTTCCTGCCTCCCGTGTCATCCTGCCAATGGCGAGGAGCCCCCACCCCACTCCGGGGCCCTCGGGGGCCCTGGGGGACCCTGGCCGGGTCGTGAGGGCTCCTTGCCGCCATCCTGCATTCCCGGGCATCTCCGTTCTCCCTGCAGGCCCCTGGCCCCGTGGACGACCCCCTGGCCCCCAGCCACTTGGAGTTCAAGTTCGAGCCCGAGGACTTTGCATTCCCCTCCGCAGCCCTGGGGCCCCAGGCTGGCCTGGGCGGGGCCCTGCGCCAGGAGGCCTGGTGTGCGCTGGCCTTGGCCTAGGTCCTCGGGCTCCCGTGGCCCCTCCGGCTGCCTGTGCAGCCCCCGCGCAGCAGAGAGAGGCCACCAGGCCTGCAGAAACGGGCCAGCGGGGCCGGGGGCGCCGGGTCCCTGTGTACAGACAGCCGTCAGGCCCCAGAGCGGGAGGAAGGCTGAGGGGAAGCGCCTGGGCCCCCACCGTGGACAGCAGGGGACGCCCCAGCGGCACTGCCAGGCTCTGACCGGCCCACTCCGGCCAGGGCTGACCCGGGGCCCCCGCCGCCACCTCGAGCTCTCTGGTCAACATTTGCTGTCACCACATCTACAAGTTGCTGCAGGTGGAACAGCCCCAGCCCCCCGGAGCACGACCGGGATGGCCGAGGCCAGGCAGGCAGCGTGAATGAGGGGACCTCCTCAAGCCTCACTCAGGATCCGTCCCTCTCTCACGTTCGATGGATGCAGCCACGGCGCCGAGAATGCCCCCTGAGGTGGCACCTCCTGTTCAAGCAGCACAATTTCCGAGTGATCTTGTCTTGTTTTTTTCAAAGACAAACGATGCCTTAAGAAAACAAATGTAAAATAAAGACTTTGACCTTGCATTTCGTTTTGCCAAGTGCCTGTGGGGTTTCCCAGCCGTCCCCACCACCACCACTCCCTCGGGCGTCTCCACGCGTGGCTCTGCTGGGCCTCACTGGATACTCGAGTCACCCAGGAGGCCCTTAAACACGGTGGCATTGAGGTCACCTGCCAGCATGGGCAGGGGAGGGACAGGGGGCCATCTTGGGGCTGCACTTGGAGGAACAGGTGGACGGGGCCTCAAGGCCGCACCCTGCCCGTCCTGCCGTGCTGGCCTGCGATGAGCCACGGGGAACGAGCCTGGCTTTGGGGCACTGGGTTCCGCCTGACACCGCTTGGCTGCCCGCTGACCCACGGTGAGCAGCAAGAGACCCACCAGGGACACAGGGACATAGGCATGGGTCAGGCCCCCCGCAGGCCGGGTGAAGCCGCCGCCCACCCTCTGGCGTCCACAGAAAGCCACCAGCCCAGCGCGTTGGTCCCAGCTATGAATCCGGGTCCCCTCACGTAGCTACAGCAGGGGCTGCCCAGGTCTGGGGACCCAATGGGCCAGTTTCTTGCAGAACTTTGGGGCCCGGGAGCCTGCGTGGTGGCCAGCGCCCCAGGTCCCTGCAGAGCCACACGGGGAGCCCTGGAGCCGGGGCTGGGCTGCAGAGGAAGGTCCCCAGGGCAGCGGCCCAGCCAGCACAGTCAGGAAGCAGACCAGGCGGGAGACGGGGCAACAGATGGCATCTGCAGGGCTTGTGCCCGTGGGTGGACGGGGTGGACACGGCCTGGACGTGACAGCCCCGACACGGGGTGGGGACAACCCACTGCCACCTTGTCCCCATGCTCGCCGACCCTGCTGCCTTTCCCAGGAGACCACTCACGAGTGAGCCAGGGAGGGCAATGCCCCCTTCCCACCCGGCCCCACCAGAGACCCAGGTCGTTACTTTGAGACAACCTAGTGGCAGTGCCCGCCTCCCGCTGTGCAGCCCTGAGCAGCTCTGTGGAGGGCAGTGTTGTCCCCTGCCCCTCCGGGCCCACCTCAAAGGCACGGCCAGACCTGCCCTTCCTCAGGCACCCCAGCTCCAGGCCCCGAGTGATGGAGACGGAGGCAGGCCGCAGAGGGCCCTCGAGGACCGCACGGGGCACGCAGCCCCTCCCCTGGGCCTGCACTGTGTCCCGCCCTGTCCGTCCCGTCACGTGGCCTTCGCCCTGCTGCTGAGGGACACCAGGGCCCAAGAGGTGGCACAAGGCACCTGGCCACACGGGGCCCACACAGGGGCCTGGGCAAGGGGGGGGCGACGGCACAGCATCATCATACAGGAAGTTATCTCCTGGGAGCCTGGGGCCTCTGTCGGAGCCTCGGTTTCCCCATCTGTAGATGGAGGAGGAGGCCACGTGCCTCTGGCCGGGTCTGGGATGCACACACGTGCAGCCGGTCAGGGCCTGGGGGTGTCCTGGAAGCTCTACGCAACCCAAGGGACCTTCCCGGAGGCATCCACCGTAGGGCAGGGAGGGTCCCCACGGAGCAGAGGAGGGGCTGCATGCCACGGGCCCCGGGCGTCCTGTCCGTGAAGAGGGTCCTTGACAGGAGGGGACGATTGACGGAGACGGAAGGAAGAAGCCATCATGTGCCGCGCCCAGGAAGGGGGAGGCCGGGCGCCACCGCTGGGCACGGGTGTCCCGCTAATTTAAGCCTTTCTGCCCCTGCTCCTCAGGCGGAAGCTGTCAGGACCGGACGGAGGCCTCATATAGCTCCGGCACCCCCTTCCTGCAGCCTTCCTCCCGCCAGCCCCCCCCCCCGGCTCCGCCCGGCCAGCGGCCACAACAGGATGAGCCGGAGGCTGGCAGGCGCGGGCACCGCGGCCCCCGTGGGAGGACGAGCCCAGGGACAGGCCCAGCCTGGCCGCGCTCCGGTCCCAACACCCTCCCACCACCTTCCGGGCTGAGGCCAACGTGCAGGAGCCCAAGGGGCAGGCCTCGAACCTGCCACTGCCAGGGCCACAGAAAGTGTCCCCGGAGCCCCGGGGGGCGTACAGGGTGCAGGGGCCGGGGGAGGGAGCAGCCCCTGCTGCTGAAGGGGAGGCGTTGAGTGCACAGAGCATCCACGGCGGGGAGACCTCTGGGGCCCACCCGCACCCCCTGCGAGTCCTGGGCTCCGCTGCAGATGCAGATGCAGAGCCTCTGGCCCGAAGCAGCGCAGGGACACCTCGCAGGGCTCCTCCAGGGGACCCCGCCCCAGGTCCTCAGGGATGTGGCGAGGGTCCTTTCTGACTTTTAAAAAAAAAAATTTTTTTCATTTATTCACGAGAGACACAGAGAGACAGAGACACAGAAAGAGGGAGAAGCAGGTTCCCTGCACGGAGCCCGATGCGGGACTCGATCCCAGGACCCGGGTCACGCCCTGAGCCAAAGGCAGACGCTCCACGGCTGAGCCACCCAGGGGTCCCTCCTTTCCAACTCTTGCTGCGTTTGGCCGAGAGTGTGCTCAGGGAGCACATGGGGTGCACACACGGGGTGCACACATGTCCCCTCGGGCTCGGGAGCCCTGCCCGCCCAGCGCCACCCCACCAGGGCAGCCCCGGGGGCATCGTGAGCCACTAGGCGGGTGGGGTGGGGGGTGCGGGAGTGGCTCCCACTGAACAACGCGCTAGGAATGGGCGCAGATCCTCCAAGGTGCTCGGCTGCGAAGGGAACGCGCTTAAGAAGGGAGGATGGTTGTCTGGGGTAAGCGGTGCAGGGCACCAACTTTTTATTTGACCAAATAAGGACATTTCTGAGAAAAGAACAGTTGCAGCTGTCACCATCGTCAAGCACAGGCCATTCCGCCACCAGACGCAGCCGCCCGCCGTCTCCGGGGACGGGACGAGGCCTCTACGGCTGCTCGCGGCTTTCCGCAGCCGCAGACCTCGGGCAGCGTGGGGCGGCTTGGGCGGCCACCCTCGGGGACACGCACAGACACCTGGACAGAGGACGGCGGGGCCTCGGGGTCCCACCCCCACCGGGAGCCCCGTGGGGCTAACAGAGACCCAGAGGCCAGGTGTCCCCGAGGCCGCGAGGCTGTGGCGCCAGGGGTCCCGTCCTTCCTCCCACATGCGCTCCGGCAGAGGCCAAACCGGCCCCAAAGGGGAGGGGGCTGGCCGAGCCCCACAGTCCTGCTGGAGCCGGGGTGGGGGTGGCAGGCCCTCGACGACCACTCGGAGGCCATGGCAGCCAGCCCCCCCGCAATGCCCTGCGACGCCCGCCAAGATGTTGACACGGACGGCTCCAGCCGCCTTATTTATTATCTGATAAAGGGCTCTCGGCACCGACGTGGACAGCGTCTGGCCGCGCTGGGGCCTGGGGGAGGGAGGCGGGTGGGTGGGAGGACAGGAGGCCAGAGCAGCCTCCACGCTGGGCTCCGGGGCGGGACGCACTGCGGAATCCGGGCTTGTCCTTCCCGGGCAGGCGGCTCTCCCTCCCCACTGCCACCGAGCCCGCAGGCCCAGGAGGAGCCGGCCCGGCGCGGGGGGACCTGGGCCACCCCGTCTGGGACTGAGCCCTGCAGACCTGCGCCCCGCGGTCCCCTCACCAGCGCCCTCCCATCCAGCTGCCCGTCCTCCACCCCCGACTTGGCCCGGAGCTCAGATTTTCCATGATGCAAATCTGGGTCTGTCTCTTTGTTTCCAAACACTCGGGCCCAGGTGCCAGCCCAGCAGCTGCCCAGCGGGCCAGAGCTCAACCCCCCCGTGACCTCGGGGCTCCCCTCTGCCACACCTGCGTGCCCTCTCAGGTACAGGGGACACCTGCCGCATCCACACTCGCCATGCTCCGGGCCTTCGCGCGCTTCCCTCTGACCACGATGCCCGACCCAGCGGGACATGGCTCTCAGGGGTCAAGACCCTCTGGTGCTACCTTCTCCATGAAGTCGTCCTCGGGCAGTGCCAAGAAGTGACTCCGAGTCCCCACCGCCAGCTGCCCGTGCCCGAGAAGAGGGGTGGGGACAGCGGCCCCTCAAGATCAGGGCTCCCGAGGGTATTGACCAACTGCGCTTTCTGTGACCCGGGTCTCCTTAAGCCTGTTATGAGCAGAGGAGACAAGCCAGGGGCCCCGAGCCTGGCCAGCTCGCAGTGCTGGCGGCATCAATGCAGGGGTGGCCCAGGGCCCCTGCTGGCTCGGGGGACAGGCTGACCAGCCCCTCCCGGGCCCACCCCCATGGGGTGGGGGCTCCCGTCTCTCCTCAGTTTCCCTGTCCTGCTGAGGACAGCCCAAGATGGGGGACAGAGGGGGTCAGGCGGGGTCCCCGGGAGGGCAGAGAGGAGAGGAGGGGTCCTGGTGAGGGAGATCCCCAGAAGCACGCCCCCAGGGGGACTTGCGTGGGGTGATCCGCGAAGGCCACACTCCCAGACCCGTGGAAGGGAGTGGGGGCAGGGGCTGACCCCGCAGGCGCCCAAGCAGGGCCAGGAGAGGGTGTGAGCGTTGACCCTGCACCAGCACGGCCTGTGCACATGGGGAAAGGGCTCCAGGAAGCCCGGTCCAGGACTGCGGGCCGTCGGGGGGCAGGAAAGAGCACGCGGCGGGCCCAGTCCGGGCAGCAGGGCCCAGCACCTGGCCTGGGGCGGGGGTCACAGCGGGGGGACGAGGGCCTTCAGAGCCCGGCACCCTCACCTTGGCCACGGGGTGGGGCAGGCCTTCCCCTAGAAGGCTGGGCCCCGGGCGTCTGGGTTCCCAGAGATTTGGAAATGACCCTGCAGAGGGGGGTGGACGGGGTCTTCCTGTCTGACCCTCAAATTCACCTTTTCTGCGTGGTGTCTCCGGGTATAACAGGTGCCAAGCTGTGCAACGTAAACATCTTAGCGACCACACAATTTTCAAACCCTGTTCTTGCATTTCTTGGTTTTTTCGTATTCAGAAGACCTCCCAACAAGGCGGACAGCACCCTTGACCTGGACCTTGACCTCTGAGAGGTTCTGGTGGCCAGAAGGGGGTCAGGTCACATCCGAACCAGAGCAGGCCACGTGTAGAACGGGAACGATGGAGTCATTGT